TAAATAAATAAGATTAACACTATATATATTATAAAAAATATATTTTAAAAAAAGTTCAAAAAATTTATACCATCTATGGGAAGAAATACAACAAAAATATATATTTCTCAAATTTACTAACATTTTAACATTACTTTGGTAATGATGGTAAATAAAAATAATATGCAAATATAAATTTATTCATAATATATTGACATTACCTATTAAGCATAAATGTATAATTAATTTTGGTCTCTTATGCTTATTTCTTATTTTTCAAAATTGTAATTGTGTAAATTTTTTTAAGAAAGAGAAATTATTTTATCAATTTCTTATGCTTATTTTTAGTTTTTCTATCCTTTCATATTCGGCATAAAATTTTGTCCTCCATATCTATTGTATTAATACAAATTTTACTAATTATTTTAATATTATCCTATTTATTACAATTTTGACTTAAAAAACTCATTATCGTTGAGCAGATACTTTATTATAGAGGTATTGTCTAGTTTTATATTAAATAGCTTGCATTTCAAATTGAAAAAACTAAATCGTAATCAAATATAATTAATGAGTAATGTTATATAAGCAAATAATATATATATATATATATATAATCTTTATATAAAATAATATAGTTCATGGACGCTTGATTTTAAAATAAAACACCATTAAAAATGAATTTATTTACCATACTAATAGTATTGTTGTATCATTCTTATGAATAAATTTGTTTATAATTTTTTTTTAAGATGAGAATTTTTTTTTATAATTTAAAAAAGATTTAATCACACCCAATGATTTCGTAAAGATATTGTATGATAGAAATAGACACCATACCATGCATCCTAAATTATTTATTTGTAGTAATTATATTATTTACGACTCATTTAGGAATATGCTATTTTAATAATTTTTTAATTTTTTATAAAAATATATGCACCTTTTTAAATGTGTAGAATAATAAAATTGAGTAAACAAGCTGGGGAATTAAATACAAAAATAAATAAATAAATAGAATTGGTTCCTCTAAATTGGAGATAATTAATTGAACTAATATATATGTACTGGACTAGCCAAAAAAGAAAAAGAAAAAAGAATACATACGTAGTAGAAAATTATAATTATCTACTGTAATTCGATATGATATTCTCTTTATATTTGTAAATAATTTTCATAGGTTAATAAAAAATATTGAGTTAATTAGGTTTATAAATTTAATTTTATGTAAGATATTTTTATGTAATAATGTAAGTAAAACTTGTGCTCCCTTCATTTTAAATTGTTGGGATAGTTATAAAAAAAATATAAAAAAATCCATAATTTATGCCTTTCAACAAAATAAATCCTCACTTTTGAATTTTGTCAATTTAAACTATATTTTTTTGATTTATTTTTATTATAAACCGTTAGACTACTTCCGTTTAAGTAAAATCGATGAAAAAAATAATCTTTTAATCATTAAAATCAATGTAGCTATACACAAAATATTTAAAATATATATAAATTTTCATGATTTAATAACTAAACTACCTATTTTTCTATCGATTTTACTTAACAAAAATATGCAACCCATTACAAAGAAAACAATTACAAAATAATTAGTATTGAAAATGAATAAATTATAAAATATATAATTATCTATGTGATGAAGATTAATTATTATTTTATAATTATTTGCTAAATAGGAAGATGTGATTTACTTGGTAAAAAAATTACTATGCCAAATATTGTTCAAATTACCTAGAGAAATTGTTAAGTATTGAAATTAAAATTACAAAATGTATTGAAAATACATTTAAAAAAAAATTAAAAACAAAAAAGAAAGATTTGTGTTCCATGAAAACCATTACGCAGAAAACGATTAGTTAAACAAAATTTTGTTAGTTTGTCGTTAATCTCGCTCAGTAGTTACTGGTGCCGATTTGTGTCCTCTTTTATGTTAATTACACTTATAAGTCTAATTTCTCACACTAGTTAGTAATACCGATTTGTGTCCTCCTTTATGTTAATTGCACTTTTTCACACTAGTTACTAACACCAATCTATGTCCTCATTTATGTTTTTTTTTGTTTTTTGTTTTTATCAGCAAAAAAAGAAAATTTTATTGATGGAAAAACATACATAGTATGAGAACGTACATCAATAAAGAGGAAGGTGTAAAAAGTATCACAGTAAAACATCTAGATCCCAACTAGGTTGGCACCTAAATGGACACCAAATCATCTGCTAGCACAAACTCCAAGCTCTATGTTGGTGAGTAACCAACATACGGAGCAAAACAGAAATAAGCAAACAGAAGCGAAGCAACCACAAAAATCAACATAGCACACCCCTTGAAGACAATTGATTAGAAAACCTCTCTGCTGGGGCATTAGATCAGCATATTAACAGTTCAGCATATCCCCACAGCTAACAGATCAATACACTAAGGTACAGAACAACAAAGTATAGGCAGAGGATACCCGAACAGATCAACAGCAGCAGATCAGTGGCAGTTATCCCAATTTTACTCTCTTCTCTGAAGTCTAATATCTCTCACAAGTGATTGTTAACGAGGGCTTGTTTATTTTGAGAGATGAGAGAACTTTTGGATAATATCCTCACTAACAATGCACACATGAACAATTATACTCAACTTAACTCAAAAAACAATCTATATGTATTCTGTTTTTGTTAATCACACTTATAACATAATAATCATATGTGTAGCCTACTTTCCAGAAACATGCCTAATTAACTACCTGAACTATTTATTTGAATATCATAGTCTGTTGAATTGGAAGTCTAATCTTTCTCATTGTCTGCAGAATGGTCAGTTGGAAGTCTAATCTCTCTTACTGACTATAGGATCTGTTTGTTTTTGGTAGTAGGAGATGAGATTGGATTAGGATAGATGTGGGATTCACTAATATTGTGTTTGTTTGCAAAATTTCTGCTGGGGCATTAGATCAGCATATTAACAGTTCAGCATATCCCCACAGCTAACAGATCAATCCACTAAGGGACAGAACAACAAAGCAAGGCAGAGGATACCCCAACAGATCAACAGCAACAGATCAGTGGCAGTTAGCCCAATTTTACTCTCTTCTCTGAAGTCTAATATCTCTCACAAGTTATTGTTAACGAGGGCTTGTTTATTTTGAGAGATGAGAGAACTTTTGGATAATATCCTTACTAACAATGCACACATTAACAATCATACTCAACTTAACTCAAAAAACAATCTATATGTATTCTGTTTTTGTTAATCACACTTATAACATAATAATCATATGTGTAGCCTACTTTCCAGAAACATGCCTAATTAACTACCTGAACTATTTATTTGAATATCATAGTCTGTTGAATTGGAAGTCTAATCTTTCTCATTGTCTGCAGAATGGTCAGTTGGAAGTCTAATCTCTCTTACTGACTATAGGATCTGTTTGTTTTTGGTTGTAGGAGATAAGATTGGATTACAATGGATGTGGGATTCACTAATATTGTGTTTGTTTGCAAAATTAGAAAGAAAATTCACAATACCTTAGGACTATGATAGGCCTCCATCGATGGGATTAGTAGTCCTCCATGAGAGATGATATTAAAAAAACAATCCCTTGGGATTCGAGGGGATTTACTGTTTTACCCTCTATTATCCTACTTAATTTACTTACTCTACTTGATTGGTATGATCTTTTCTAAGAAAGAATTTTTTATTTTATTTATTCCACATTTTTTTACTACACCATTCTTTCTATCAAAATAATTCAATATTTTAATAATTTTTAATATAAAAATATAATAGTATAACAATATTTATACTAAAAAAAATTATATTAAAAAAATAAAGTAGTACCAAAAAAATATATATTTATGAAATATAATTTTTAATATTAAAATATAATTTTTTAGAAATTTGAATAGGAAAATAAAGTATAACATATAAATAAATTTGTTTTTATTTATAAAATTATAAAAATAATTTCCATTTTAATCATAATTTTATTTTTTCATTTTTAATAATTTTTTTTTTTAAAATTTGATAGGCATTTGGAAAATATTATAGGTCCCAAATTTTCTACCAAAAAAATAATCAAATGTCTCACATGAATGTGAAGTCCACAAAATATGAACCCCACACCTATGTGAGATATTTAATCATTTATTTAATAAAAAATTTGATATTTCTAACATTACCCTATTAATTTAGTAATTCACATATCAACATGGCAAACAATGAAAAGAAATTGTCAACTCTATTTAATGCTCTAACCTGCTACAAACAAGCTTTGTGTACTTATACCAAAAAAAAAAAAGATGTGAAATGGTCATTTCCACACCATACTTTGCCGCCAGTTCGTCTATCTTCTTCTCTAAGCTTATTGCCTTCTTTAAAACAAGTTTTTGGAGCTTTTGGTCTTTTGTGAACCATTTTTCTTCCTTTCTTTTATTACGCCTCTACCTTTCTGAACCATTTTCCTTCCTTTTCTTTTATTACACCTCTACTTCCCATTTCAGAGGAGTTAAAGCTGCAAATTCCATTTCAGAGAGAAGGATTTTAAAGCTTCTGCAACTACCTGCAAAAATTAAAAGGTATATTAGAAAAATCAAGCAAAGACATGTTTTATTTCTTTCTCTTACTTATTTCTTTCCCCTCAAGTTTAATAACACCAACGAAGTGCTGTTACTTTGATTTCACATAACTTTCATATAATAATCATAAAGGCTCTGTTTGTTTGAATTTTTGAAAATTTGTTTTATTTTTCAATTAATTTCACAAAAAATTTTAACATAAAAAATTTAATGTCATCCTAAAAAAATTAATTTCGTATCATAATCATAAAGGCTCTGTTACTCTATTTTTTTTTTGTACATACATATGCTCCTACAGGTATAAATAATGTCTTCCTCAAAATCTACTAGCAAGGAAAAGCAGAAGGGAAAAGGAAAATCTGTAGTACTACGTCCAGCGAAACCTCAAGGAATTGAGTTTGATGATAAACCATTGTGGAATCATGTTAAGGTTCTTAGCATACCAGTAGGTGGGGGAGGAAATAGATGTTGGTCTTGCAACTATTGCATTAAGAAAGTAACAGGTTCATATTCAAAAGTCAAGGCTCATTTGCTGAAGATTCCTAACTGTGGAGTGGAAGCCTGTAAAGCTATAAAGGATGATGTTTTTGAAACACTCAAAAAGGAGCATGAAGTGGCAGAAAAAAAAAGAGCTCAACAACATTTAGATGCAAGAAAAAAAACAGATTATGTATCTCTACCTGAAGGATCAGACTTGCTTCAAAACAAAAAAAGAAAGGGTTCAATTTCAGGACCTTTGGCAGCTGCATTTAATGTGGCAGAAAGAGACATTGCTGATAAACAAGCTGCTCGTATGTTCTATGCCTCTGCTTTGTCATTCAATTTAGCAAGGTGTCCTTATTTTAGAAAATATTCACAGACCTTGGCAAACAGCAAACTATCTGGTTATTCTCCCCCAACATATGATAGGTTGCAAACAACATTACTTGCACAAGAAAAGGCACATGTAAATAGAAAGCTTCAACCCATAAAAGACTCATGGAACAAGAAAGGAGTATCCATATGTTCTGATAGATGGTCAGACAGACAGAAGAGGCCGCTTATAAACATAATGGCAGCATCTGTTGGTGGAGCAATGTTTGTGAAAGCAATTGATGCAAGTAGAAATATAAAAGATGCAGATTATGTTGCAAACATATTTCTATCAGTGATTGAAGAAATTGGGAAGGAGAATATTGTTCAAATTGTTACAGATAATGGATCTAATTTTAAGGTTGCTGGGTTGACAATTGAAAATAAGTATCCTCACATTTTTTGGACACCATGCGTAGTGCATAGTCTGAATTTGGCATTAAAGAGTATGTGTGAACCCCCCCAAAATTCATCTCAACATTCTGCATGTAAATGGATAGCCAACTTGGTCACTGATCTTCATAATATAAGAAATTTCATAGTGAATCATAGCTTGCCAAATGCCATTTTCAAAAGTTACACAAATTTGGAATTACTAAGGGTTGCAGAAACAAGGTTTGCATCACACATTGTCATGGCTAAACGTTTGAAGGAAGTAAAGCCAGCATTAGAGAAGATGGTGATGGATGCAGGATGGAAGATTTATAGAGGAGGTGGAAAGAATCCAGTGGATGCTAAAGCTCGTGAGGTGAAGCAACTCATAGTAAATGATGTTTGGTGGGATGACTTGGACTACCTTTTGAGTTTTACAGAGCCTATTGTTGACATGCTAAGGGTTGCAGACACTGATGCTCCTATGTTACATTGTATATATGATATGTGGGACACTATGATAGAAAATGTGAAAGCAATTATATTTGAGCATGAAGACAAAGATCATCTCATAGGACAATCGGATTTTTTTGACAAGATACATGAAATTTTAGAAGCTAGATGGACCAAAAGCAACACACCTCTACATTGCATAGCTCATTCCTTGGTCCCTAAGTATTATCATGAGTCTTGGCTTCAAGGTGGAAGTAATGGCATTCGGCGATTGGCCCCGCATGAAGATGAAGAAGTGTCTACTAATAGGAGCAAGTGTTTTGAGCGACTGTTTCAAAAAAATACAACTCATCTGCGAAATGTTTATGTTAAATATGGTGCCTTTTCAAGTGGATCAGGCTATTTCAATCAGCCACATGTTATTGAAGCAAGAATGTATGAGGAGCCAATCTCTTGGTGGGCTAATCATGGTGCTTCAACACCATTGTTGCAAGGGTTAGCATTTAAGTTGCTGTCACAACCAGCTTCTTCATCATGTTGTGAGAGAAATTGGAGCACCAATGGTCATATTCATAGCATCAAAAGAAATAGGTTGGCAAGTAGTAGAGATGAAGATTTGGTCTTTGTGCATTGCAACATAAGGATGTTGTCAAGAAAGAAAAAAGAGTACAAGGAAGGGCCTTCAAAGTATTGGGATTTATGTAAGTTTTCTAATTCATTAATCTTGTTCTGTTTCTTCTACTAATTAAACTTAAACACTGTTTTTATTTTTTATTTTTTATTTTTTGGATTAGTTATTGACTTTTGCATGATTGTAGGTGGAGATAGGTTTGACATTGATGGACCTCCAATTGAGTTTGCAGAACTTTCCATCAATGAACCTGAGTTGGAGCTTGTGACTTTTGATGATGTAATGGAGGATGTTCACCCTGATGATGTTGGTCATGGTGAAGACTTAGATGCATAACTTTTGGACTAGCTTCATTTGATCTTTTGCATTTTCATATATTGATGTTTATGTTTATGTAAAAGACTATAATCTGTTTTCTTCTCTTTTTTTTTAAATTTTTTGACATTTTGTGCTGTGGTGGAGATGATCAGTCAACTAGGAATAGTTGACTTGACATAATAAACTTATATTTTTGTAAATCTAAATTTGATCATCTCAATCAACTTGAAGGTAGTTTTTTTTTGTCATAATGTTTATATTTGTATGCAGAGGAGGTTTTATTTATGGGACACAATCAGAGATATTTATGGGAATTATGTTGTGAATCAATGTGTTGGTATAGTTGCTAACAGGTTTAAGGCTAAAGCATTGAAGAGCTTAGAAGCTGGATATCATTGGATGATCAATCTTCCCTGTCAGTTTCAAGGATTCAATATCAATAGTTTGATTAAGGATTTTACTAAGGAGCTTTGACATCATTCACAATTTGAATTTCTAATATGCTATGCTGTAATTATAATGATATAGAATATTATAGGTGTGGTCAAAGTCATACACATTTTAAACTTAAGTAAGCATCCATATCTTTTCTTTGTCTTTTTTTGCTTTAATTTATATTTTATACACAATGATTTTTTTATTTATTGCCTACAAACTGATGGTGATAATTATGCAGCTAAAATGGTGAAAGAACATGTGAATTGTGGGAGGTTGGAAGCACTAATCAATCAGGTATGTGCCTAGGTCCTACATTCATTTCATAATAAATTACTTTTTTTTTTCTTCTATGTATTTTTTTAGACTTTAACAATCTGGTTATTGATCATCATGATGCATAGATTATGTAGTTAGTTAGTACAATATAAAAATTCTACTAATATTTTATGTGCCGTGTCCCCGTATCCGTATCTACTTTTTGGACACTTTTTAGCCGAGTCCCCGTATCCTTATTTTCACGAATAGGCGAATCTGACACCTAGACACATACCCGTATCCGACACCCGCACCCGCGTCCGTGTAACTTGCCACACACCAGATATAAAACCAGCAGCACACAACACTCAATTCAGCAGCAAACAACAAAATATAGAGGGCCAAAACCAGACCAACTTATCTCTGCCACACACTAGATATAAAACAAGCAGCACACAACACTTACTTAAGAGACAGCAAAAACTGAGCAGAACAAGACTTACCAGATGAACTACCAACAACTCTAGACCATCCATCCAAACCCAATCAAACCTGGTCTGATTTAAATTAGACAAAAGACCTTCACCCCACCTGAATCTGGAGCACATTCTCACTACATTTTGAATAACAAACCTCTGAAGTACTGTACCTTACTGCAATTGATCTGGTAGAGATTGGACACTAAATTATGGACTGAATAAATGCCATTTGGACCACAAAGCTACCTGTAACTTAACTTGTTCACAGAGTTCTTGGAGATCAGGAATAGCATCCTTTAATAAGCATTGGTTTCTCAACTTCCAAACAGACCACAAGACTACAGAGGGAATAATCTGCCAAACTTTGAGTACCCAAGACTTGCATTTGGACCTGCCACCATACCACCACTGCAGCAGGCCTTCTACAGAACCTGGAATAGCCCAAACCTGGTCCCACCACTCTACCATGTGAGACCAGCACTTCCATACCAGAGGACACAACAGTAGCACATGTTCAACATGTTCCAGCTCAGCTTGGCAAAAAACACACAGATTACTAGCACTCAAATGAAGAGCCCTGATTCTTTGAAGATAGGATGAGGTTTTAACTCTACCACGCCAAGCCAACCAACAGAAAAACTGTATCTTTGGAGGGGCCAATCTCACCCAGACCCCTGCTGGGACTACCAGACCATTCCCACTAGCTGCAGCCTTCCACCTCCACGCAGAGGCAACTGAAAACTGCCCTCCAGGGTTTGATTCATATTTGTCTCGAATTAATATCTAACTGAAAAATCTAGAAATTCCCTAGATGTTGATTTGTGATTATGTATCAATTTTAAGCAGTGTATAACAATCCCAATCAAACAATCAAAACAAATCGATACAACAATTTTATGTGAAAAAATCACAATTGGACACCTCCAATTGTGATAAAAAAAATCACGGGCAATAGCCACAAAACAATCCACTAGGAAGATATAAAGGAATTACACAGGTATACTCTCAATTACCTAGCTGTAGACGTCCCTGAACGTCCCGGGAGGGAATCCCCCGTTTTGTTCATTTGGACTCACTACAGTTCGGACTCTCAAATTGTCACAGTTCTTAATCTGATCTCACAATGTGCGATGTGAGATTGATAAATCACCAAAGAGTCCAGATCCGGAAAATCGTTTTGAAAACAGATTTTTAGAAAGAAGTGCCAAACATGGACTACTTTGCTAGATACAGAATCGCCACCTAAATATTTATTTTGGGAGATTTAGGAAACCCTGACTCGTGCCTAAGGCCACGTGTCCGTCATCACCAAAGTTGTCTCGGCTCGGGAACTTGGGTACGATAAGGGAAGGTCAGCTATGAGCACCCCCGCTCGCCCGATCAAAGATCGGCCTCTACTAAGCATGATATCTTGTTTTTGAAAACACATGTGCTCTTATTCCGATTATTTAACCTAGAATTACTATGTGATGCGCACAACATACAAGTATAGACTGGATTGCCTAAGTTAGAACAAAGCATCGCATATCCGTTTGTTTTGGAAAAATGGATTGAGGTTTGTTACTCGCAAGTAGGCTAAAACAAGGGTTTCGACGAATTATTCCAATTCAAGCAACCCAACCTTCTCCCACAGGCATTTAGGCAGGTATATCATATAAGCAGTTAGCCTCATGACAAGCATGCTTTCATGTTAACACTCATATACATGCAAGATGCTAAAGCATAAACACTCACAGTGTACTTCAAGCCAAAACAAAAACTAGTTAATAATCAATACATGATCCCAGTTTATGTTAAGATGGCTAATGCAACACATGCAAAATGCAACTAAGATAGGCTCGGCTATTCTAAGATGGCATGTGAGATGCTACAACTAACAGGTATTCAATTTGGAATTGAAATACAATGCAGTTAGTATGATGCGCCGAGCCCGGTGCATGCAAGACATATAAATGATGCAAACATGCATAGCATAAGGATGCTAATTGAAATATGCCCTAGTACTAACCATCATAAGCGGTTAAATAAAAGGGAGAAAGACGTGGGGTTAGAAGACATGCATCACACACACGCACACTTATTACAAAGTTGTGCTCTCTCGGAGGGTCCGAATAAATAATACAAACCGAATAAATAACAGCTACAGCTAATTATTACACAATTCTTAACTAATTAAACAAATTAATTAAGCTATGGGAAGAGGGATGAATGCATGCTTGGTCGGCTTCGCCCGGAAATCCATTGCCATGCCTCATGTTGCCTCTGTTTGCACTGTTTTGTTCCTTTGAAAATTGCACAAGTCTCCAAAACACTTCTGATCCACCTCATGGATGCTGTGAGAGGCCATCGGCCAAGAGGGGTGGCCATCGGCCACTGGAAAATGGTCATCGACCAGTTGTGAGGATATCGGCTAAGTATGGTTAGTCGGTCGGCACTTAAAAAAGTCGACCGGCTATTTATTCCTACAGGATCCTGTTTTGCTGCAGCAGAGGGCAAACAAAGCATGGCAATGCATTTACCAGACAATGTTTGCACAACCACACTCTCTATCATGTTTAAGACTCCAGGGAGTGTAGTTCTTCAACCCTCGGACCATCAATCACGTATTTCAATGCATGATGGCCAAAGAAGCCAAGTGTGCAACTCAATATGGAATGAAATGCATAAAACACATAAAGAGCCCCAACTTCTATCATGATTGATCTAGAGGCAAGGGATGCATGCTCAATGCTATGCAACCTATGCATGCAAGCAAACTAATGCAAAATGAGTATGCTAGCAAGCAATATACAATAGGCATACAACCTAAATATGCAAACAGACAACCTAGCATACACAATGTTATAGACTATATGGCACCCATAATGCTATATGAACTATGGCATGCACAATGCAACTAATCACTTAGCATACACAATGCAAGGAGTGACATGGCATACACAATGCTAACAACATAACATGCACAACACATTGTAACATGGCATACACAATGCAAGATGGACTTAAACTAAAATGAATGGGCCTCAGCCACACTCAAATCAGTGGCCAAACATGATGAAAACAAAGCAATGACACACATGCAAACATGCAAGAATGCAAGGGACCAAACCTAAAGCATAACATGCAACTCTACCAAAGCATGGCAGGGATGAAATATAGTGTACAATGGGACTTTTTCTAGCTCTGAAATGACATGCAAGATTGTCCCGAAACATGCAAACACCTCAGTATATGCATGCGATGGACCTCAAAACTCAAAGTTAAGCATGGATATTGAACTACAGGCATGCAAAACAAGCATCATTCGACCATGAGATCCAAAAACAGAGCTAAGGCAGTCCAAAACACGCACAAAATCAATTTAAGACAAGGCCAAAAACAGAAACAAGGCATGCCAAAATATGACCCAAAACCCACTGGAACTCAGTTAACACATGCTAGAATGAGGTGCTTCTTTGAAAGGCTATGCAAGGGGTTACTCTACACATGGAAGATAGACATCAAAAATGGCAAAACCACCTCTGAAAAGAGGTTATGAGGGCCCTAAAACTCATCAAAAAGGGCCTGAAAGGGGGGCTAGGAAGCATGCAAGTGAAGGCTCCTTTGAAAGGCCATGAAGAGGGTTACTCCACACATGCAAGATGGACACTTAACATTGAAAAACCACCTCTGGACAGAGGTCATGCAGGTCATAAAACTCACAAATAATAGCCTGAAACATGGCTTGAAAACATGCAAATAGGGGCTCCTTTGTAAGGTCAAGAAAGCTAGTAAACAAGACAAGGGGTGAGAGGATCACCCCTCTCTGATTTTGATGCTCAAAAACACATAATAACCACTGAAAATCCACTGGATTTCAGTAGTCAAAAGGGCCAACAAAGCTCAACACAAAAGCCCTAATGCATGGCTCAAAACAAGGAGAAATGAAGCATGCAAAGGGGGTAGGTGACCCCCAACAGAAAAGAGGTCTTAAACAAACATGCTAAGAAGCTTAAAAAAAGATTTTTTTTCAGTTTATGACAAAGCCCAAATATGCTTCCAAATGGAGCTAAGATGTGAAGCAAAATAATGCTTAAAAGGGGGAAATAAGTGTTACCCTTGTAGAGAAGACTTCCAACAGCTTCTGGACCAAAGTAGAAAACCTTCAACCTCTAAAAACCAGCTCCAAGGTGCTTGGATGGATGGTGGAAGGGTTAAGCTAAGGGTTGGTGTGCAAAGGGCCAAGAACTATGGAGTATTTGAGCACAAAAGAGAGAGATATAGAGAGGTGTATATTGTATGCCTTAGAAGCAAAGTCTGAACCCTTGCAATGGAAGAGGACCTCTTCCTTTATAGATCAAGGAGACTAAAGCTTCTCGAAGAAGCCAAGAAGCAAGGCCAAAGATCCTCCATACACGTGTATGGAGGATCCAGTCTGTGCCCTCCAGCTGGCACAACTGGCATCCATTCAGTCCGTAGAATACGCAGGAAGGCCACCGGGCAGAAAAATTGTTCAGCCGGCTACTATAAATGGTCGGCCTGCTACTTATTTGGTCGGCCAGCACATTGTTCTGGTCAGCC